TACCGGTCATCACTCCATCTAGTAGGGGGGGGGGGGGGGGTCGTCCTACACTGCATTTAGCCGTAAAGAGTCACCACTTAAGAACTTTTCTTGATTGGAATATTAAGTTAAAATTATTTTCCGTTATTTTTCCCCCTTATACATAAACTATTTAATTATCTATCAGTCACGTAAAAGGAAAATTAATTTCCTATTAATTATAATCAGGTGGACATATGAGATTATCAAACGGGATTGTCTTCCAAATAGGAAACTATAAAATATCATAATATATATAAAAATTATATGAAATAAAATATATTTATTTATTTATACTTTAGCACATATTAAAATATGTGTACGAGGCAGACCTGATGATATCTGATGGCATTCTCTACTAATCAATCGTTTCACTAAACAAAGGGAGTAAATGCCGGTGCATTGGTCTAAGAAATATATATATGTATATATATATATATATATATATATATATATATATATATATATATATATATATATATATATATATATATATATATATATATATTGAAATGTCACACAGAGCTACAACAAAAAAAGAAATCCAATACTACTTCCAATACTATAATGAAGGCGAGCTAAGAATCATTTATATTTAATTCCACAAACAAATAGATTTTGTTCCACTAAAGAAACATCGTCTTCTATTGAAAAATTGTGACTACTGTACGAACTACTGAATATCTTAACTTAGCATATAGGACATTTTATGTACCGTATCACGCGGATGAAGCTGCAGGATGCAGTTAGTCAATAATAAAATAAACCGTATCAAAATCCGAAAAAAGATATATTACAAAAGGGGTGAATTGAAAACCTCCTCCTTATTAAAGTCAGTCGAAAGCCAGATAAAACACAAATTTAACGAACGAGTACTCAGCAGCGGTAGCGGTGCCACTAAAAAGCTGATTGAATCCCAAATTACTGTCTGTAAGCACCTTTATACATCACGATTAGTTAGTACTAACCTTTATAGGGATATCGCTGTTTGGAAGTACATTCATCATTGTTTTTAAAGGACCTTTCCTGTCGTGACCACAACGTGGTGCAATCCACGTCGAAACTTGGTAATAAAGACGTAGTAGTAGTATGTAGGTACTATTTACCTGTAAAGGCTTTTACATCGCCGATTTTAAATTTAAAATATGTTTTTAAATGATTCTAAAAACTAAGAAGCTCCCAGTTAGACTATTTCTGGTCTTCAAAAAAGGAGTAAAGAGGTTTCTTCAAAGTCGGCAACACACGCGTAATACCCCTGGTATTGCAGGCTTTCATAGGCTATAGTAACCGCTTACCATCAGGTGGGTCATATGCTTGTTTGCCACCTCAGTGGTATAAAAAAAAATTGAAATTTTGTTTCACAAAAAAATGCCGAACTCAATCGTGGTAAAATCAGTAATTTTAATTTAAAAAGTAAACTCCGTTTATTAGTTTAGTTTAATAAAATATTTATGAAACTAACCTAAAAGTTAAACATTTTAAATAAAAAAGAATTAAAAAGAAAGGTTACAAATGACGGAGTTATAAGGTAACAAATATAAAAGAATATAATGGAATTTAGTACCACCTCCTTTTTTTAAGTCGGTTGAAAATTAACTAGCAATACAAAAATACGTAAACTGGTGCAGTAAAAATATAATCAATTTTTTACATTCCCTAGTTATAGAAAAAGGCGACTAGGAAAACAGCAAAATAATTCTTACGACAACACGTTCGAGAAAAAAATAGCTTAGTTGTAATAATAGGTTAATGTCTTCTTGCTATTGTTTCTTCAAGCTGCTTACACCAGCAAGCAGCTCGAAGAAACATCATTGAATGGCAACCCCGTAAAGACAAAACCAGTGTTTTTTTTATTGGGTAATAATGAAATGGTAGCCCCGCCTGCGCCAACGGTATACACTGGCGGGGCACCACTGTAAAATGATAATTAACAATGAAAAAGCAGGTCAGTCAGCCCATCGTGATGAATAAATATACCTGGAATTCAGCACGATAGTTTCCAGGGAGAACCACGTGGAGGTCGACCTGACAGGGTATATTATTAACAAGGGGTAGTCCGCATTACTAACAATTCTTTTCCCTTCGACAAAAAACAGTGTAGGATGATGATGAAAGTTTATGTCCAACAGAGGACAGTTAATGCCTGAAATAATATTAATATATCATTAGATTTTAGTTTCTCAAAGACTCCCATACCCTTAATCTTCGGTCATCTCATAAACTCCTCCTCGTCACCCCGTCACACCATTCCGGATTTATGTCCAATTCTTTTACTGTCACCGCTATCAGCCTTTGGAATAAAATCTCTGTAGATCCACGCACAGCATCCAGTAAGGATATTTAAAAAAAGACTTTTTAATTATTTGTTGAGTTAACAAAAACAGCTCTAGTTACAGGTTACTCAATAGTTATTATATCTCATAATGCTTATCGTTGTTTTGATGTATGTATGTTTGTATGTATGTATATGTATATATATGTGTATGTATGTATGTATGTTTCACATGTATTAGTGTATCCATATACGAGTATATTAATAGTATTTTTTATATATTATATGTGCATTTCTTATGTATTGTGTATTGCCTTAATGTGTTACTATAATTTTCACATATTTTTCACCACAACTGCCCTTCGTATGCTTTCTGTTTTTACCTAATGGTTAGCTGGTAGAGAATACCATACGCCATAAACTCGCCATTTGTACAAACTTTTATTGTGCAATAAAGAATAAATAAATAAATTATTGTTCGCTGTTAATGTATCTTTTCATGGGTAAAAGAATTTTTGAAATGTGTCCAGTAATTTTTTAGTTTATCCATTATAAACACATAAACAAATCTTTCCTTCTTAAGATATTAGTATAAACAAATTTAAACAGAATCACAATCAATAAAAGTCACCGTTTACCGTTACAACCGCTGTGTGTAGGTAAGCGCCGAGCAATTTGCATTTCTCTAAGATCATTCCAAATCGCGTTGAATCGAGATCTTGGAATTGTACCAGTAATATTAGCATTTGATGGTAATATAAACCGTAATATTATGGTAATTAAATCGACGTGTTTTATATATCTAAGGCCTGACAAGGGACCGGCCCTTGTTTAAAATTGAGAACCCATTAACTAATTCCTTCCAATCGAAATTGGCTGTCAACTTCTTGTAAATGGGTAATTAATGAATAGTTACGTGTCTAATGGTAATTTCGTTCGTTATTTTAAAACGTTATCCTCGTTATTTCAGTGTAGTAACACTCGTGTATTTTTTTTTTATGATGAATGCTTTCGAATAATCAGAAAATTGTTAGATAATGTTTTGTAATAAAATGTTTAAAGAAAAAAGCAGTCAGAAAAAAAAAACACATTAATTAGGTATTATAGCGAGATGGAAAAGTTCATGTCTTAAGTTTACCGAGAATTTTATTATAGTGCATAGATGTAAGGAGTGTAAATCTATCTATTATACGAATAGACTTGCCACAAAATAAAATATTTATTAATACAACGTACATCATGAGATATCATGGGTGAAACAGTATACTTTGTTATGTCCATGGTACTGCTCATGTCTGTATACGACGGTTACCACTTTCCATCAGGTGGGTCGTCAACTTGTTTACCATTCTAAGTTGTATAAAAAATACATCAGCGTATGTCGTTGTAGTAAATACATTTATAGTATCAACGAGAGACCGTTTTAAAAATAATAATAAGCGTAAATAAACTTGATTAATCGACGTACTCGTATCATAATATTATATCTAACCATATAAAAATTATAACATCAAATGACAAAGTAAATGCACAGTTATCTCACGTCCGCTCCGATAGTTCGACTGTGGCTTCCTCTCTGATTTGTAGAGTTAAGTAGTCCCGACCATATGTTAATAATTCTTAATTATTTGGTTACCTCCTTCTTTAGCGTTAGGTTAATTTATTGATATAAATGCAAATGGTGGCTCAGAACTGTGCCTTATGATAGTCTATGAGTCTGTAGAAAATGATTTTTCTATAGAAATCTATAGAAAATACTATGCATATGTATACCGCATTTATTAAATTGCTAGCTTTTATCTGTGACTTCGTCCGCGTTCACTGATAATGAAAAAATACTTAAGACTTTAAGGGAACAAACAAACTCACTTGCACATTTATAATGTCAATAAGGAGGTTTTTAAGTCACTTATGAACGAGAAGGCCTATATACCAAATTGAACCCTTCGACTCAGTGCAATGATGTTATGGGAGCTGTCGACGATTCCAGACTCACAAAATGTATCGAATCTTTAAGTCTTAGAAAATATTTTGTCTCACTCGGTGTGTTCTATTATTGCTTGTACAATAAATTGTGCTCAGAGGAATCGTTTAACATAATACCCACGGCCACTTTCTACTATCGTATAGTTCGACACCGACAGGAAGTTCACCTCAATGACTTAGAACTTGGATGGTCACATATGGCGCGGTTTCAGAGATGTTTCCTTCACGAATGCTCAAATTATGGAATAAGCTCCTTATCCATGTTTATTTAAAAGACTACAGCATGAAGTTTTGCTTAGTGCTAAAGAGGTTTCTTTAGGGTCGGCAACACGCGGATGTTCCAGAGCCCCAGGTATCGCAGGAATTCATGAGCTATGGTAACATCAGGAAGGCTATGGTTTACGCCATACGCTACGTTATGACATATCTAAGTACGTTAGATATTTTTTATTTAACTACAAGTATATAACTTAAAAATGGTTAAAAGGATTTGAATAAAATTTGATACACATCTACTTTGTTAATATCATCGTTTGTCCTGCATGTTAAAAAAAAAATTATTTGAGATTAGATGGTTCTATGTAATATAATATTGCTGTTTATTATTTTTAATTTACTTTAAACTATTCCTCTTTTTTCTAAACAATGAAGTAAATTTAGAATTTTATTTAAAAAAATATCAAGTGGCAGTTCTATCTTTACCAACATCTCAACTCTGTGGAGTACAGTTTATTTGTTTCAGTTACATGTTATGCATAAAACTAGTATAATCACAATTTTGCTGTGAAATTTATATTTATTAAATCATAATACCTCAATATGCATTGGATATACATATTAATGTTGATATTCGTTTGGATCAAAAGTGCTGACGCAAATTTTGTTTATACCAAAAATAGTAAGTACCTAGCCTATTTTTTTTTATTCTAAAAATATATAAAAGTTTGAAAAGATGTTTAGATATTATTTTTTATTTTATTATGGTTTAAGGGCTGGACAACTTTGAATGAAATATAATACACAGAAAGTAGAAGGTAACTTGGAATACGCCTAATACATAGGACACTTTATATAGAGATTCACTCAAGAAAAGCCGTGGGAAACGTCTAGTAGACAATAAAAAATGATATTGAGTTATTAGTGAGCTAACACAAAAATGATATATCCAATCTTGATCAGACAACAAAACGGATTAGTTTCTCACTTCGACATTTTTTATTGTGGAACAAAATCCATATTTATTTTTATTTCTTCATCATCATACCGAACATAGGCGTCTCCCATAAGGTTGTTGCCACGCTTGGTAAGCGACTTGGTAATCGTTAGTAAATAATTATCAAAATTTATCAAAAGGAATTTACCCTGTTTTTTTAATGGATGGTAATGGAATGGCAACCACGTCTGCACTAACGGTATACACTGGCGTGGCACTAGTGAGGGGTGACAGGTGAGAATGAAAATTCAGGTCAGTTAGCCCATCGTGATGAATACACCTGGGATCCAGCATGATGGTTTCCGGGGGGGGACTACATGGAGATCGACCTGACAGGGTATATTTCTAGCAATAAGACTGGTAGTCCGCATTACGAACAAACCTTACTACACCTAATATATCCTTTTAGGTCGTCCTCCACGCGGTTTTCTCTGGATACCACTGTTGTTTATTGTTGTGTAATTCGTCATAATGGGCTAACTGTTAAGCGTGTTGAGTATCCGAGAAATAGGTATTGGCGACCCGCATGCATGCTAAAGGTAAAGGAGTTAAGGGGCCGCTTGAAAATCAGCGCTATATAGGTACATCTCGCTGGAGCTGTACATATATTGCAACAGCTGAGGCGGCTCCTATTACCAGCAACATTAATTGTTTTTTTTTTTCTTTTTATTGTTTTAATTTTCTTAATACTGGTAATAAAAGTTTTCTATCTATCTATCTAACTGATCTGCTTTCATTCTTTTCCTTATCAACTCAGTGGCCCGCCAGCGTATACTAATAGACTTACTAATTTACTATCACATATTAAAACAACACATACATTATAACAGGGAATTGAGAACGTCCTTCTGTTTAAACAAACCCACAAAAGACACAAGTAAAGTTCAAGACTTTCTACACTTCCGGATGAAGTGTGCTGAATTGCTTGAAATTATTGCTTTGAATTTAGCGAAGTATTTACATCAAACTCACCATTCATTAAGCTGAATAATTGAGAGGATCTAGACTTACTATAACCACGTATTGTTATTTATAGTTCGTCCTGATTTATTTAAAGATTTTTTTTTTTTTATTATTTCTTATTGACTGACTGCAGTAGAAAGGAGATACTCGTTTTAACTGTATTTCTTGTACATACGAGTAACCATGGATAACATGGATACTGATCCGATATTTGTATATTGGGTTTCACTGGATAATGATGGTGAAAAAAGATTATCACCCATTTCGATATCGACCATATCGGTTGGTTGTTTATTTTCAAATATGTTAAAAGTCTGTTATCCAATATTAATTTTCAGATAACAGACTTTTAACATACTCGTTATTGCACAAGTATATACATAGATATTGTAATTAAAATATATAGATATTGCTATATATTATCCACTTCTACATACGAGTATATTACATAATGTATTTGGTATTTTTAACAGACTTTGACGGTGTTTTTTATTAAAAAAAATTATGAGATCCAACATAAAAAATATTGTATTAAAAAAATGTGATACAACGGAAAACAATCCGTATCGACAAAGAGAGAAGTTGCATTTTATGATAATAATTCATTGTAATTATATTTCCTTATCCTGTTATTTTCCACATTAAATCTGGTAACCCCGTATAGTTAAAAGATATCTGGCATATTAAATATTAAACTCGCGCCCGATCTCTCTTGAAGCTCGCCGGAAGTTTTTACGAGTTTAAAACACAAGTTTGATCTTTTATTGAATGATATTTTGTAAAAAGACTCACTCTGAAATATTAGCATAGTATTCAGTTTAAATTACTGCTCTATTCATATATAGATATAAAAATATACCACATTTACCTTTACCATCTTATTATACCATAATTAATTTGTAGGTACAAATCGATTTACATCGTAGTATGTATATATATATATATATATATAATAAAATCTATTATAAAAAAATAAATGTGATAGTGAGTTTATATGTTTTTATTTTACTTCTTGGCCTTCAAATGGCTCAACCAAATATTATATTAATTAAAACTTTGATATACAAGTAATATGAGAATAACTTTATTCAATGAAACTTAGTTTAGAGCTTTTTTGTCAAGTCATTTTTATGATTTAATCGCTCATTCAGAATGTACTTTCAGCTGAGAAGAACAAGCACGAAGTCTTATATCGCTGTATTTTTCAACGATTGAGATCACTCTTTTTATTGCAGTGTAAAATAGATTTAAGTTTGCATACATTTAAAGTGCACAATTTATATTTTAGTGGCGTCCCGCTGCAAAGAACACATCAGTCAACATGGCTACAGCTATGATACATTTTACGAGATCCAAACTGATACGAGAGCTACCAAAGATCCTGACAAATCCTTTGAAATGCATCTAGCTATTCAGGCATCTAGCAACGGGCACATATTGCTGTCTCCAGTCAGTCGACCCGGTTCGGCCGACCCTGTTTATGAAATAGGTAAGTGATCGACCAAATGTTAAAGTAATTAAGTTTTTTTATATTTATTTATGGAATGGTAACCCCCCTATCGATACACGCAGACAGGGTACCTGTGAGAGATCATAAGTACCATATATCTATGAAAGCAGGTCAGTTAACCCATCGTGATTAATTAACCATAATGATTTATTTACACTTTATTCTACCAATTATAAAAATAATAAATACAATAAATTTTAATGAGAAGCGATACAAAAGGCGGCTTTATTTCTAAGCAATTTCTTCCAGACAACTTTGGGTAGAGAACACTGAGATAAAGACAAAGGGTAGGTGGTGCTATATTACATAGATTATTACTATTATGTAGACAATTTGGATGAAAGCAGAAAGGATTGTTAGTAATAAGGAAAAGCAACGCCGTGTGTTTCCGGCATAGAATGGTCCAACCCTTCTTTTTCTATAAGTGTTATAACAGGCGATTAAGGAAACTTATTGGTCGAGGGATGGCAGGGTCTCTCTTAAAACATAACCAAAAGCCAAACTGCGGTTGCCAATCCACCTGCCAAGCGTAGCATCTACTAGCAAAATCCCCCCAATAGTAAATTGCCATAAGGAACAGTCCCGTTCCTTATCACAGGTGGCTCAAGACCGTTCCTAATGGCAGTCTATGTCGGAGGCTTATGTTCAACAGTGGATAGATACCAGCTGATATGGTGATGATGGATTCCATAGTTAGCAATATACTCTATCGGGTCAACTTCGACGCAATTCTCTCTGGAAAACATTACTGTTGAATTCGTTGCGATGGTGCCAACTGACCTCCTTCCATCTTCAAGTATCAATCTTCACCGATGCCCTGCCAACGTACACCAATAGTGCAGGTGGGGTCACCATTCCATTATCATTCATAAACAATTGTGGATCATGTGTATCATCTATTTTTATATCTAAAATCATTATTATAATCAACATCATGTCTTTAATGGCGTAGTATAGCATCGTACAATATTATCATTTTTGTGCTTTTATATTTTATTATAAACATTTTTTTCTTTTATTCAAAAATTTATTTAATTCAAAGGCGAAATTTGTCCTTTACTAGTTATTTCTGTCTGAGTGAAATATAAATTAATTGGTTTTAATTTTTTTTTATACAACTTAAAATGGCAAATAAGCTGACGGCCCACCTGATGGAGAGTGGTAACCGTCGCCTGTAGATATGAGCAGTACCATAGACATAAGAGAGTATACTGTTTCGCCCATGATGCCCCCCATGCATTGCAATTCTTCAGGACTCAGATGTTATTCCTTTGTACCCTTTAAATTCACGCCATATCCCACCCTACAAACCGAAACAGCCATGCAAACACAACTGCTTCACGGTAGAAACACGAATGGGACAAAGGTACCCAAGCAATCGACTTTTGTACAAAATCTTCCTCTGGTATAATAATTGAAATTATATTATAATTTTTACCAGTTGTTGGCGGTGGAGCCAACACGTTCACAGAATTACGAAGGAATTTGAGAAGAAACGCAAAGACCTCGTCTAAGACACATGGTATATTGTCCAATATGGAACTCAGAGGATTTTATATAAAAATCTCAAAAGGTATTAAATTTATTCACTTCCACAATCTAAACTAATATAAAACATGGAATAATTTGTTTATTCGAATGTGTAAATCTCTGAAACTAGTAGTCGGATTTGAAAAATCTTTTTGAATTTGTTACCTTATTTCTGGAGGAAAGTTATAGGCTACTAAATATTATGATACGACCACGGAAGATGCCGCGGGATACAACTAGTTAAAAATGAAATAAATAGCTATTTGTATCACTGAATGTTTAAAATTTTTAATTCTGAATTTTCCATGTTTCATAATAAACAAGTCCGATTCAAACGAATTTCTCCAACAGAGAACCTATGCTTTATATTTATTATTTCCGTTTATGTAACTACATACTAGAATACTAATAAAATAGACAAAATCATACTTATATAATAAAATTATAACTAGATAATGTATGTACATGATATCAGGGAGTTTAATGAGAGCAATAGAAAACAAAATAACAAATTTTAGAATTTTAAAATCTAGGGGTTGTCGGAGTTGCCAGCAAAAGTTACTATAGAATAAAAATTTAAAACATTTTAAAATTACTTGACATAGTTAGAAATATTAAGAAAAGTAGATTAAAATAATAACATATCTAAATTCTCTCTCCAATTTAAATGTCTCTTATAAATTATAATAATGAGGCAATGCTTTGTACATTTTCTATAAATGTGAATTTATCATCAGGTCAAAATTTTGACACATCATGGAACTGCTTTTGAAAAGTAACGTAATTGTTTGGAGTAGCTGTCTTGGTTTATACTATTCAACAATATATAGCTCATTCATGAAACATAGTATTCTAGTTGCAAAACGTTTCGTTTATGTATTTATTTATCTCGAAGTGATAGACTTCAAATCTTAAAACCTACACCAGATTTACTAGTTTCTTTTTTTCTAAAAACTTACAGAGGGACTAATTGCATTTGGGAGAGAAGGCGAAATATTACCAATCATAAGCTTCTACGATGTGGATCCCCTCGACATAAAATATATGAGTTTCGCTTCTTGGAATGGAGTGGAAGCGAAATTTTTATACGACTGTCCGTTACCTGGAGGAGAAACAAATGACAATGATAGTAAGTTATGGTCACCGTTTTTATAATGACAGCTGAGATTTTAATAGAATTATTAGGGTTACATAATGACTGTTCTAAAAAATTTAATACTTTTTAAAACAGTCATTATGTAACCCTAATAAGTCTATTAAATTATCTAAAAATTTTAAAAGATTATTAATTGTATTGTATATTATACATTAAATCTTTTGAGGTATCCAATATAAATTATGTACAATAAAGATTTTACAAAACAATACAATAATTTTCTCAATAACTCAAGGCCATCTTGGTGTCAGTGTATAAGAGAAACTTCACTGTATGATGCCGGCATAGAATGGTCCACCCCTTCCTTTCTCCAATCTCTGTCGTAAGAAACGACTAAGGGAACTCAATAATTGAAGGATGGACAGTAGCGTCCCTCTTAAAATATCACGAAACCCTAACTGCGGTTGCTAAGCGTGGCAACTGCTGGCAAACTCCCCTTATAGAGAAGATGTCTATTAGTAATTTTAGTTATTTTAAATAAATCTGCCCGAGGTGTTCTTCTATAGCGATCTAAATAATAATAATATTCCAGTTCTGGAGTAAGGAAACAGGTATGTGACCTAGGCCTCTTGAGCTATTGCAATTTCAGACCAGTGTCTTTTCAGCTACAGTGTCCCTGTTTCTCTTTTACCCATAAATCCCCTTCAACTTCTTAGCTCCCTCCTAAATTTTCCCGCCTTTTTTCTCAATATTTTGCTCTACTACCCACGTAGTGTCTACCATCAACAAATGCATTTCTATGGAAATTTCACGTCTGGCAGGAGGTTGGTGGTTCAACTAAAAGCCAATACCTTGGGTAATATGGATAAAAATATATTACGCCAATCCCAGAATTTATATAATTGGGATTACGGTAGAAAGATCATGATAAATTCTTTTAAATAAATATGTTTCTTCTCCAGCTACAACGGTGATAAATTCCAAAGAAGTAGCACGTAAACTGACACCTTCAGAGCAAATTAAGAAAGAACTACTGCAAGGTCGTATAACAAGTCTACCACCAGAGAGATCTGTAGATATACAAATAGGTGTTGTGATTACCAGCGCGAGATATGATGCATTTGAGTCTAAAATGATTGCAGGGTTAGCTTTTGTGACAGTAAGTTTTTTATTATTTTTGACTATTTTCATATTTAATTACTGGCGATCTGCCTTGACTTTGCATGAATCGTTGTTAGCTTTAATAGATTAATTTTTGGTACTTAAGGTTACTTTATTGTATTTTTTGTGGGTATTTCAATTTAAAAATAAAATATGTAGCCTATAATAATGTAACTTTCTATGCGTGAAAGAATTTTTTAAATTAGTTAAGTAGTTTTAGAGTCTTACACTGATGTCTTAGACTCATTAAAAAAAAGTCTATGGAGAAATTCCATGTTCGACTGAGAAAGTGGCTACGTAATGTTACTGCCGTGGTGTAGCTTGTAGGCTATTTAAGCAAAACAGTGACCAGTGACCAAATTGAATGCGATTTTCACAGTTGTATTCCGAAAAACCTAACTTAAACTCTGGTGTATATTTTATTTTGATACGTCATCAACAACTGCCCATGGTAGCTCTCATGTGTTGCTATCCAGTTAATTTAATTGTAATAACACTGGAATTTGATATGATACAATAACTTATTAGGACTTTTCTAGAGTTGGACAGACAAAAGCATGACATGGGATCCAAATAAAATTAAGGATGCAAACATATCGAAATTGTACTTCCGTCCGAATCAAATATGGAGACCAACTTTCTTGGTATTCAAGTAAGAATTATTGTTACTTATTTTCTAATACTATATAATAATAACCGTGTGGTCCCAGCATAAAATGGGTCACCACTTCGTTTCCAGTGGGTGTCGTAAGAGACGACTAAGGGATCTTTATAGTCAAGGGATGGGCAGCAGCGTCCCTCTTAAAACATCACCAAAGCCTAACTTTAACGGTTGCCAACCAGCCTGCCAAGCATGGCAACTACTGCCAGATACCTTATAATGCAAGCTTATGTTTAGCGGTGGACGGTTGATGACTGATATGATGATAGATCAGTTCATATACTACAATAACAAGATAACAGATAGTACGCTTAATCTATGCAAGACAATGATTTTTAAAGAGGCATCTTACGCTTTTTTCATTAATGGGTTTTACGGCACTGGATACAAACTCTTTAGTGTTTGAAAACAACTGGAAAAAATATAATCCGAACATAACAACAGGACACACAGGAATTTTATCAACTCGCCATTAACTTTAGTAGTGACAAAACCAGTTACTTTGATTTATAAACTAAACTACGGAATCGATTTCGATGAAATTTCTGTGGGACCAATTTACTTATGTATATACATCCACTTATGTATAATACAAATTGTAAGTGAATGGAACTTATTATACTTATACCAATCTTAAAGTATATCTTTTTAGATAAATAATTAAATATAAATTTAATTTAAAATAAAAAATTAATAAATAAGAAAATATTATATTTAAATATTATAACGGGAGTTATGAACACACAAAAAAATTAGCCGAGTTGAGAACATCCTCTTTTTATGAAATTTGTTGAAAAATAAACTTTTCAAAAAGTTCTCTTAATCGCAGTATTTAAGATTTAGTATGGCTTACAGCTCAGACGACGTAAATCCATTAGACGCAAAAAATCCGGGACTAATTTCTATGAATAATAATGGAGACGCAACATTCCACTTCAGAGCGACCGTCGAGTCTTGGTGTGTTATGTATACCACAACTCTAAATAAGTAAGTTTTTTTTTCCTATCTTCTTTAGCTTTATAAGAATAATAAGTAGAATTGTGTTCTATAAAAAAAAAAGACTTTTATTATGATAAAAACAATTATTTTGATTTAAAAACAAAACTATTAAAACGATTTTAATAAAATTCCTATAGGGCTAAGCTCTTTGTATATTTATGTACGTATTATTACGGATATATATATTTATATATGTGTGTGTATATGTATGTGTGTATATCACTATCACTACATAGTATAAAACAAAGTCGATACCCGTCTGTCTATCCCTATGTATGCTTAGATCTTCAAAATTACGCAACGGATTTTGATGCGGTTTTTTAATAAATAAAGATTTGTATGTATAATACATACATAATATAGTAGAGAAATACTGATAATTTTAAAGGATTCTAATTACCTAAATACTTATATTACACCTCCATGTTTAGAAATAGTAGAATTTTCATCGTACCTCCGATCGAACTGTTTATAATAACTAAATTAACTCCTCTCCATCAAAAGGTTACCTGGAAGAGATCGCTTTTAGCGATAAGGTCGGCCATTGTTTTCTCACTATGTATATTTCTTGTAATTGTTTGTACCTATAATAAGTTTACTATTGTAATACTATAATATATAATTTACTATAGTACTTTTAGAGGAAACAATAAAGAATATCTATCTATCTGTCTATTTCAGATAAATAAGGAATTTTCCGAAAAATCGTTTTATATCAAACAATGACAAACTAAATGGAGAAGCCCTTTTGAAATCAATTGAAAAACAATTGAATTAAATCATAACTTTTTATCGTATTTCTATATCTACAAAAACGACTAATACCTTGTGTTAGCTATAGGAGTAGGTACCGTATAGTGTGCAATACAATAGCTTTTTGGTATTTAATTCAATTAGAAATTCTAACGATTCTTTTAAAGATTATATTATACTGTATGAGTGTGCGTGCGTGCAAGTTTGCGTGCTTGTCTCTAATAAAATAAATAACATTAATCATAAGAATCAATCTACTGTCCGAAACAATGAGTTATTTCTTTGTATGTCATATAACTTAATTTTTTTTTTATTTTAATCATAGATGGCCTCATGATGAATACATTTGCTCTATAGTAATCCAACCATGGGAACCGCACGAACAAATCAAAATGGAACTCCTTAATCCAAAAGATCTTAAAATGCAAATTGTAAGTAATGCAAAGATCTTATTAATACTTGTATAATAACTTGACTATATTTATATTTTGTCTTGATATCTATATATGAAGGACACCCCTGATGCTTTGCCATCTGCATTGCATCAGGGGTGTCCTTCTCCATAAACCTGTCTTATTCTATAAAAAGGGCATATGGGTATGCGACCCCGACCTTCCGAGCCACTACAGTGTCCTCTTTTCCTTTCTCGCATAAGTCCATTATTCCTCTTATTTATCATTTCCCTTTACGCATTTCCAACGTTCCCTTCCTTTATTCCTCAATCCTTTCCTTCATACCGTAGGTGGCGGAAACCACCAACAAATATATTTTCAAAGAGGGAAAACGTCAGGCAGATGGCCGGTTTTTTTTAATGGGTGATAATGTAATAGTAACTACGCTATCGGTATACGCTGGTGGGGCATTATGACGAATTCCACTAGAATTAATCATGATGGTTTCCAGGGGGAACCACGTGAAGGTTGACCTGATAGGGTGTATTGCTAGCAATGGGTCAGTTTTTTTTTATGGGTAAAAATGGAATGGTAACCCCGCCTGCGCTAACGGGATACGCAGGCGGAGCACCAGTGAAGGGTGGTCGATGAGAATAAAAACAGGCCAGTTAGCCCATCATGATGAATTCATTAGAAATTAACCACGATAGTTTCCAGGGAGAACCGCGAGGAGGTCGACCTGGCTAGGTATATTGCTAGCAATGGGATTCTCAGTCTCCATTACTAACAATCCCTGTCCCCCTGCAGGCAGCTGGCTGCCAACCCGTCTGCCAAGCGTTGCAAAACTATTAGCAAAACCCCCCTTATGGAGAAGGCTATGTACAACAGTGGACAGTTAAGTGCTGATACATCATACCAAATTTTACTGTGATTGATTAAGCTATTGAAGCACTAAGAAATAACAAACAAACAAATTAAATTTCCCATTTATAATATTCGAAAGGATTAACTGTACGAAATACATATAATATTTTTTTTCTTTAATGGATGATAATGGAATGGCAATCCCGCATGTGCTAACGATATACGCTGGCGGGGCACCAGTGAGGGATGACAGGTGAGAATGAAAAGGCAGCTCAGTTAGCCCATCGTGATGAATATACCTGGGATTCAGCACGATGGATTCCAGGGAGGACCATGTGGAGGTCGACCTGACAGGATATATTGCTAGCATACCTATACTAATAATCCCTCATCCCCAATAATATAACTGTTAGTTTTCAGATATTGATACGATTGTGAGGAATGAATGGCAAGTGCGTTGGGACCAACACGTTCTCCCCTCGTTAAAATGGAATAAATTGTATCCGAGCACAAATAATGAGACGAACCAGAGTGATAAATTTGTGATAACCCTCAAACTGAAACGAACGGCTACCTCTCATATCATCGTGTTCTACACTCCGTTATTAGGTAAGATCGATAGTTTATGCGACTTAAAATGACAAACAATCTAACAGCTTAACTAATGGGAATAAGTCACATATAGTTTTTTTTTTTGGGTGAAAGTGTAATGGTAGCTCCGCTTTCGCTGTCGGTTTACGCTGATGAGGTACCAGTGAAAGATGATAGGTACACATGAAAGCAGGTCAGTTACCCAATCGTGACCAATTCAAGAAAAATTTGCTACGATAATTTCCAGGAGAAACCGCGTGGATATCGACCTAATAAAGTATAATGCTAGTAATGAGGCCGCTGTTAGTTAATTCCTTGATGAATTCGTCATAATAGCCAGTCAGTTACCGGAGTTTCTTATAAAATTTTTTTCAACAATAAAAAGTTACTTTAACAGCGAGTGACATAGACTATATATTATATATCGAAAACTATATCTACCTGTGCGAAGTCGGGTCGGATCACTAGTCAAGTATAAGATACATTAATTAATAATGTTATTCACTAATTTTAAAGAATATATCTCATTAAAGTGACCAGGATATTGAAATGAAACCAGACTTTGTACAAAAGTCTTTTGCTTGGGCACCTCTATACTATTCGTGTTTCTACCGTGAAGCAATTTTGGTGGATGGCTATGTTTCGGTTTGAAGGGTGGAATATGGCAGTGAATTTACAGGGTACAGAGGAATAAAACCTGAGTCCTCAGGAATGGCAACGCATGGAATATCATGGGCGAAACAGAATACTCTATTATTTCCGTGGTACTGCTCATGTCTATAGGCGACGGTTACCACTTTCGATCAGATTGCTCGTCAGCTTGTTTGTCATTCTAAGTTGCATAAAAAAAAGAATAAATAAAATCAGGAATTAAGGTGTAGATACAATAATTATAGATAAAGAGACATTGGTTAGTATCTAATTGTACAATTTATCCACTACTAGATAAGATACAGTTCGCATTTTTAATCGCAGTAATCATAATCCAACTAATTCCTAATTTTATAGATATTTTGAAAGTGATTATATGTGTATTTTATTTTTTTAGCGACTGCCAAAATATTTTGTATTTCTTTTATGTAGGTATCAAATTCCTCTCTCTTTCTCTCTCTAAACAAACAAAAAGATTTATCTGTATTTTTTGTATATATATTACATGATAACTTTGCGAATTCTGAACTGATTTTGATGATATTTTTAATGTCGTTAGAATCCTCTTCCAACAATATCTCGTATTAATTTTTTGACAATTACTGAACTACTGTTTTTCTTTGCGAAACAAAATTTAAATATAATAAAATGTATTACTTTAAATATCTTTTACAGTTTTTACTTTGTATTTATAAGTATTTCCCGTGGTAAGCTCATCCCATATGCTAAGATGAAATATAATCAGCAACCAAATTTCATTCAAATCCATTCAGTGGTTTCTGAGTAAAAAAGTTCTTCAAACTTCAATCCATACAAACTTTCTGATTTATAACATTTACAGGATTTTCAAATTCATTTGCAGTACTAATAACGTTCGTGCTACTGTCATTCTGGAGCGAGCCGTTGAAAATGTCTCGTGTATGGCTCTACACTGGTTGTATTACTGTTGTATGTATGGGGTTGTGTTATGTCGATTATTTAATGCCTTGCCATACAGTACCTTCTATACGTAAGTACTAATTAGTGACTAATAACTATGTTTATTAATTTAATTTAATTCTAAATTCCACGTGAAAATCTTTGGAGTTTCCCCTTCTGAAATGCTTTAATAAATGATGTGAATGAATGTAGAATAACTATGTTCACGCCAAACACTTTATGAAGTAGATAGAACCAAGTTCCAAAGTTATTTAAATGGAATTATTTAATTTCACTAATAATGGGGAGCAGCGTTCCTCTTAAAATATTACCAAAGCCTAATTGCGGTTGCTAACCCATATACCAAACGTGGCAAATCCCGCATTAGAGGATGCCTATGTTCAGCAGTGGACTATTAATGGCTGATATAGTATTATCTTCTTATCCTTCCTTTCCCGTGGGTATCGTAAGAAGCGACTAAAAAAGGATGAGAGATGGGCAGCAGCGTCCCTCTTAAAATATCCTCAAAGCCTAACTGCGGTTGTCAATCCTCCTGCCAAACATGGTATCTTCTGGCAAAACCGCCCAAGTGGAAGATTTATCTTCAGCAGTGGACAGTTGAAAGTTGATATGATGAAGATGATGATGATGGTATGATATGGAATAATGTTCAAGATTAGACATTATAGTTGTTTTAATAAAAGTTAAATTTTTCGCACTTGCAATATTAGAACCATAGATATAGACCGTTTAACCGCTAGAAGGTCAAACATTCAAATTTTGTTAACGGATAGAACTACACGCACTTTTGTATTTATTTTAATTTATTATAAAACTTGAGGCACGGACAAGCATTTCATTTCAACCAAGAGCTTCTCACCTTCAAGCGCAAACATACGTGTTTTGGACCTTCGTTGCCGAATAATAATACGAAAAGTACGAGTCAGCGACCATTGGACTCATCGTATGCCAATTCATCGCACAAGTTTTGGACTACGAGAAGTGAGAAGACATCTAGTAAGGATCGAGGTTAAGGCGTCGGAGGAGCAGCAGCAGACAGCAATCGTCCATAAGCGCATTCCGGAACGGTCTGCCATCCTCCCTAACCCCATCTCCTTCGCTTCAATTGTGTCACACCGTGCCTTTAGTCACGTTACAGTTCTTGTGTTTAGCAATAAGAAGCAGCTTTGTGTCGCAGCTAGCACAGGCTGATCTTACAGACCAAGAATCAAACGTAAGTACCTTCATAATTTGCCAAAATGAGTATAAATGAGGCTAGTGTTAAAATAAATCGTGAAAGATCCCCTAATAGGCTAGTCGCTAATAATGAAAACGATAATGAATTGCTAAAGGATCTAGTCAAGACGCGTGGCATATTAAAAAGCAGGCTTACTAAATTTTCTAATGCCGTTAGTGATATTACCCTCGAACAATTAACTAATCAAAAATGCGCCGATGTAAAATTACGCATGCAAGGTGTTACGAGCTTATTTACAGAGTTTAGCGATGTTCAAACAAAAATCGAAAAAATTGTACGAGATTCAGATTTAGATTCGCAGCTGACGCAACGAGAATTGTTTGAAGATTGCTATTATCATGCACTAGCTCAAGCTGAATGTTTGCTCAAATCGGTAGAGGTCACTAGCGCGTCCAGTAAGGGCAGTAAAAGGACGTCACAGTCTATAAAACTTCCGACCATCTCCCTACCTGTATATGATGGAACGTATGAGCATTGGATCGAATACAGAGACATTTTTCTATCTCTAGTACACAATTCCGATGAAATTAGCGATATTCAGAAATTCCACTACCTAAAATCGTCACTAAAGGGAAGCGCGGAGTTAGTTATCGATTCCTTAGAATTCTCTGCTAGTAACTATGTGGTAGCATGGGAACTACTTCTCAACAGATACAACAATAGCAGTCTGTTGGTGCATAACCACGTTAAGGCCTTATTCACTATTCAAAAACTTTCTAAGGAATCACCACATGCACTCAGAAAACTGACAGATATTATTCTTAGAAATTTACGCGCATTAAAAATATTAGGTGAGCCTACTGAGTACTGGGATACGTTAATTATATTTATTATAACGTCTAAGTTAGATGAAACCACCGAACGTGAATGGGAACCATTTAAATGCACCACACGAAAATATATTAATGATATTTCTTCACTGAAGGTAGATGATTTACTCATGTTCCTCAGAGACAAGGCTGACATGTTGGAAACATTGCTAGTTTCACACAGAGTTAACAGTGACGTTAAAACTCAAAACGCGACTTTACAACAATCGTCACATTATCCGTCACATAAAACATCACATCATAAAGTGCACTGCAATATTTCCACCAATAAGTCACAGCAAGGTCGAATCACGTCTACTAAGAAATCGTGTTTAATGTGTAACGCCGATCATCCACTTTATTCATGTCAAACATTTTTGGACACTAACTTAGACGCTAAACTGCAATTTATAACCGCAAATAAATTATGTGAGAACTGTTTACGTCCAGGGCATTCAGTTAATATGTGCAAATTTGGACCTTGCAGACTGTGTTTTAAAAAACACAACACGCTTATTCATAATAACGTGACTGATCGAGTAGCGGTCGTATCAATGCATCTATCCGACACTGGAACCCCGGGTTCTAGTCAAATGACCCCGCGACCGTCGCACCGCCCGCGCCGTCCATCCCCGCGCAAATTCATTCGTCTCGAGTAAACAGTGCACACATAGATAATTCTAATTTAATTCACAAACAATCTACTATGCGACCCGTTATATTGTCTACAGCTATAGTCGAGATAGCCGATAGGTACAATAAGTTTCACTTAGCACGCGCGCTTCTCGACTGTGGTAGTCAACATTGTTTTATTTCTAAACCACTATGCGATTTAATTAATATAAACTTAATACAGTCCACTTGCGAAATTCGAGGTGTCGGCAACACAGTAACAACGTCATCACAGATATGTGATATCGAGATCAAATCACGCATTGAAAATTACTCCGCACGCATTAAATGTTTTGTGTTGCCGCACATTACATCTACGCTATCTACTGCTATGTATAGTCAACGCGCGCAGTCTTTTATGATACCTGACTATATACAGCTGGCTGATCCACAATATTATGAATCTCAAAATATTGATATTTTAATAGGCGCAGACTTATTTTGGGACTTATTATGCGAGGGTAAAATGAGATTACCCAATGGACCCTTTTTACAAAATACAAGGTTAGGTTGGATTATTTCAGGGCCTATTGAGTTTAACACGCACAATATCAATACGTCTGTCCAATGTAACTTCACTCAATCTATTGACACTCAGTTACGACGGTTTTGGGAGTTAGAAGAGGTGCCTAAAACTAGTGACATACAGACTGACGAAGAACGCTCTTGTGAGGAAGCTTTCATTCGTACTACCACGCGCAATAGTGACGGAAGGTTTTGCGTCAGCTTGCCACTGAAACAGTCGCCATCTGTTTTGGGTGAATCTTTGTCACAAGCTGAACGTCGTTTTTTGGCACTAGAGAGGCGATTAGAACGTAATTCTAACTATAAAAAATTATATATTGAATTTATACACGAATACATCGAATTAGGTCATATGACGCGAGTAACTTCATATGGAACCCCACACTATTTTTTACCTCATCACGGCGTGTATCGTGAGCACAGCAGCACAACAAAACTTCGCGTGGTGTTCGATGCAAGTGCCGCCACCAGTAGTGGAGTGTCTTTAAATGACATTCAACAAATCGGACCTCCAGTGCAGGGTGATTTAGTTGACATTTTGCTTCGTTTCAGACAACATAGGTACACTGCTTGTGCAGACGTCGAAAAGATGTACAGGCAGTGTCTCCTAAACGAATTACAACGCGATCTCCAGTTGATTGTGTGGCGTGACAATCCATCTGAACCGTTAGGTATTTATCAATTAAACACGGTAACGTATGGGACAGCCTCCGCACCGTTTCTTATTGTTAGGTGTCTAAAGCAGCTGGCACTCGAATGCAAGGTCTCAGAAGAAGGACTCTTCTATTTAGTACAAAAAACTTTTGTACAAAATAGAACGGCAGAAATATATGAGTTGGGGAAGGAACTTCCATGGCGTCATGTCAGAGAGAAGGAAAACCCAGCTGATCTGATCTCGCGCGGTATTCAGATGGAGGATCTCTCATCTTCTACTTTATGGTGGGAAGGCCCATCTTTTCTTCGTTACACTAACTTCAGTTGCAATAATGTATCATTAAATTCATTTGACTCTCAGCAACTATTGCCTGAGCTGAAATCCAGTGTGACACATTCCTACGCTACTGATCAAGACTGCGAACGTACATTATTTCCATTTGTTAGATTTTCTCAATATAGTCGCATGAGACGAACTGTCGCATATATACAACGTTTTATCCATAATACGCGCAATAAAAATACTCAACGGTCAGGTACTCTCACTGTCGATGAATTGAGGGAATCTGATATAACTTTGGCTCGACTGTCTCAACTAGAATCGTTTCCAGATGAGTATAGGTTACTCATAAATAATAGTACTCTAGTTAATAAGCATAATTTGTCTAAATTAAATTTATTTATTGATAAAAATAAACTAATTCGTGTTGGTGGTCGGATTGTAAATTCTCCCGACTTTAATTTTGATAAAAAACATCCGATTTTAATTTCATCTAAACATATTTTCTCCCTACTACTATTCAGACACGAACACAAGCAGTTGTTGCACGCAGCTCCACAGGCGCTTCTTTATAACTTACGTGAAACGTGGTGGCCAATTGGCGGTAGAAACTTAGCAAGGAAGGTTGTTTATGATTGCATTATTTGTAAACGCTTGAGAGGTATGACCCCTACTCCCCTTATGGGAGATTTACCAAAGGAACGCTTAATATGCGTTCTGGGGTGGACTACGCCGGACCAATGCTCATACTTAATCGTAAGGGTAAAGGTGCTAGGACGACAAAATGCTATGTGTGCTTATTTATTTGTTTTGTAACGCGCGCTGTACATTTAGAACTCGTCAGTGACTTGTCAACAGATGCATATTTATTAGCGTTAAAGAGATTTATATCTAGGCGTGGCAAACCATGTGAGATTTTTTTTCTGATAATGGTAGAAATTTTGTTGGATTGATGAATGACTTTAAACATTTTTTAGCTAATTGTTCGTCACAGATTATAGAATATGCCACGGCTCAGAATATTCAATTCACATTCATACCGCCTTATGCGCCTCATTTTGGCGGATTATGGGAAGCTGGAATTCGGTCCTGTAAGAATATTTTACGTCGTATAGTAGGAAACGCGCACTTAACCTACGAGGAGTTCAGTACAGTGTTGACACAAATTGAAGCGGTCCTGAACTCCCGTCCTTTAAGCCCTATGTCCTCAGATCCACAAGATTTGTCGCCTCTTAGTCCAGGCCATTTTCTGGTGGGACGTCCACTTACTGTGCCTGCTAGTGATGACTTCACTGAGACGCCTGTTCATCGACTGACACGTTATCAACGAGTTGAGCAGATTCGACAGCAATTTTGGTCCCGTTGGGCGAAGGAATACGTGTCAGAACTTCAAATAAGGACTAAAGGAAGGAAGAACACACTTGAACTGCAGCCTGATATGCTAGTAGTTATTAAGGACGACAACCTACCGCCGCTAAAATGGCATCTCGGTCGAATAGTGAAGATCTTCCCTGGCAAAGACGGCATCACTAGAGTAGCCGATATTCGCACATCGTCAGGTGTCGTGAGACGCGCTTACAGCAAGATATGTCCCTTACTTGATGACTAATTCTAGTTTTGAAGTTTTAAAATTGAAAGCTGAAGCTTTCAAGGCCGGGGGCATGTTCAAGATTAGACATTATAGTTGTTTTAATAAAAGTTAAATTTTTCGCACTTGCAATATTAGAACCATAGATATAGACCGTTTAACCGCTAGAAGGTCAAACATTCAAATTTTGTTAACGGATAGAACTACACGCACTTTTGTATTTATTTTTAATTTATTATAAAACTTGAGGCACGGACAAGCATTTCATTTCAACCAAGAGCTTCTCACCTTCAAGCGCAAACAATAATTATACTTAATGACAAACCTTACATTATTATTTGGAATATAAATATCTAATTTCTTTTGCAGTGATACTCTACATAACAGTTTTGGCAGGAGTTCTGTTTGCTCTATTGTTACAAGTCACTCTAATGACAGAGCTTGCAAAGACAATCTGTGATACAAGACTGATCCAAACAATTCTCACTTCGCCTCATTTCAGATTTATATTCTTTTTACCTCCAATAAAGGTAGGTTAATTTAGTTAGTAAGTAAAATTGCATATTTACAATGGTCAAAGTTTGCAAAAATAGGTAACATTTTAAATTTTTATTTATCTTTTCCTTTTTTAATTTCTAATTTCTAATAATAAATAGTCTTAAGTAGTCTCATATTATTATTTTCTGCAGTAGGTATGTTTTTTAAAAGTATTATAATAGTATTTAGGTTTTAATATAATAATATAAAACATTGTCTACTGAATTCAATGTTTTAAATATTTACTATGCTTAAAGTATGCTTAAATAGTTTAAAATATTATAGATGAAGATGTTAACTATAAAATCAGCTAGAAGACGATATTTTCTGCATGCCAAATAGTAAACAAATATAGGCCTTTCAGTGCGATAGATTTTTTTTTCTCTGTAACATACTCACGCATGCACGCACGCACTCACACCACAATAATAATGGTCAATTAAACGATATAATATAATATAATTCGAATCAAACAACAAGTCATTAAAAATAATATACACTTATATTAAATATGTACATAAATTATCCTTACATTTTACATTAACATTTCAGACATGCAAGAACTACAGCACACTAAACGACGGATATAGTCACGATGACGGCGATTCCGGCATTATAGTGACTCCGAGGAATGGTAATGTTGAAGAAATGCAATCGGATAATCCAACTACAACCACTACCACGTATGGACAACCTGCAGAATTGGCGGAGGCGTTTGATAAACTGCTATTCTTCGTTTATACAATAGCGTTTTCTATAATATGGGTAATTCATTTTTAAAACGTTCTCTGTCAACTGTATTGATAATTAAAATTACATTTTCTTTTTTTGTATTTTTAACTGAATCATTATGTTTTATATAAATAAACATTTACACAGTAAATGTGCTATTTTAATATATTTCAGCAATTAATATGTTTCGATTGTTTATTGAATATTGAATACTTTATGGAAAATATTATGTATACCTCAATTGCGTTACATAACATCGTTAACTAAGATAAGATTATAAATGGAAAAGTGTATTTGGTACTTCTTGGTACTTTAAAAACTCAAATAATTGTCATAGCCCTTGTCCACCTCAAAATATGAAGAAGAGCATAGACTATTTTTTTATCTCGGTCAATCAATCGCGTTAAGTTCAATCAAATCGGTTGCGGACGATTATAAAATTATTACCTTCAACAATAACTATACACGCTACTACTCGTACAGAGGTGTGCATCAAAATTTATTAACTATTGAATTAGCTGTTAACGATTAAATTAATTGTTAAGATCAAAATTGTAATATTTCATAGTTAACGTTAATATTTTTTGGTTAAAGTTACATTATTTACCTAATTAACCTCAGCCGTAACTAAAAATCTGTTAATTGCCTATTTTAAATGATTTTTTTTTACCTGTAATTTTTATTATGATTAATAATGTATTTTTTTCGTCATGTTTACATTATCATATTATGTAGAGTCAATCTATATTTCTCAAAAAAATCTCGTTCCTCTCTGCTACAATTTGTAACATAAAAAATAGGTTAGTTGGTTATTGGTTAAGTTAATATTAATAGTTACCTATCAAAATTACAAAAAAATTTATGCACCCAGTTGATAAACTGCTGTTTGGTATGGAGTTTTATTTTAAGTTTCCCTTTGTTTACTCTGGTATTATATGCTTTCTTTACCTAGTTCTAGTATATTTGTCCCATCCTAGTATATTTCTCCCTCCCCCCCCCTCGCCCCTCCCTAGAATATTTAATTATGTGTGTATATTATTTGCAAATTATATTTGTATTTATTATATGTGTGCGCCACCTACTCTTCATCTTATTTTCTCTATTTCCTCTACCCAAAGGTTGCACAGAAATCATTGTTTGGCTATAAGAACGCCTTTTGTATTACTTCGTCTAACTTATTTCTGTAATTATGTAATATAATGAAGTGTAAATTAAATAATTAAAATCAGTGATGACAAAATATATTCATACTCCGTCACATACGGAATCGAGTTCAATATAATTTCTCATAATTAAAACCAAATATAAACACTCGTTACAGACCGTCAAAACGTTTATTGAGAAACTCCTAAGTAAAATAAATGAACATTTAAATTAATGAGAATCTAATACACAAATGGTTTCCCACTCAGACACATTCCACATGAAAGCTTTCACTCAAATTGGAGTAAATCGAGCCACATATCTGATATAAAACTTTTAAGATTTACTAGATAAGCCAAAGACAATTTACTTTTTTTTGACAACTTTTAAACGAATATTCTCAATTTATCTACATTTTTTACTAACTATATCTTGCAACTCCATCTGTGTAAATCAATTCATAAAATATCCTATGTATTAAGTATAAATGTAATGTTTAAAAAAGTACAAAATCGATTCTATGTGTTAACCCTTTTTGTTTTAACCGTGATACCAGCTGATTATAAATGAAGGGTGGGATATCTACAATCGATTTTATTTTAATATTTAGTTGATTACAATTTTTTTTTTCAATATATAAAAAAATATCGTTTTGATTTTTTTATTCTATGGTACTGTTAGTAAACTATAGGCGACGGTTAACACTTTATATACCGTCAGCTTTTTTTTTAAGTTGATTAAAAATACATAATGTGTTCTATGTGTTAAGTTAGGATATAATCATGAGTCAATACAAATCCAGTATATGTACTAAATCAGGATATAATCATGAAACAGTACATAAAGTATTTTATATGATAAGTTATGATATACCAAATTTCATTAAAATTGATTCAATAGTGTTTGTTTGAAAGAGTAACAAACACCCATCTATCCATTGTTACAAACTTTAATATTTATTATATTAATAGGAGGTACGAGTATGCATATATTACGTGTTATCCTTTCTAATATTATAAATATAATTAAAAAAAAATTAAAAGTATGTTTGTTGTTTGTTTGCTTGTTATCTCATAGTATTTTAATGGCTTAACGAATTGACTAATATTGTGAATTCTTAAAATTCATGGATTATGCCATATTCACCAAAATTCACCAAAAATATATACATATAAACATATATATTCACCAAAAATGTCATTCGTAGGTACTATTTTTTAATCATTTCTCGCCCTAGCTTTTTCTTTCAAACAAAATACCGCATATATTACTCCCTGATAATGATAATGTAATTTAAAATTGTTTTAAAAGTTACTTTATAAACTGAAAACTCAAAATTATTTATTACAAATAAAAAATCTCTTTTTTTCTCTATTTACAATATTAATTTGAATTATAAAAAAAAATGTTATTTTCCGTACTGTTCCATTGAACTTGTAATTTGATTAAATGAACAAAGAGTTTTAATGATAACAAAAGATAAACCGGAAAAATACACTAAGTTGGTTTGATAAAAGTTATCATTTCATATTACATATTGATTATTTCAATATCGTTCACTGCAAATACAGTAGTAGGGGGCGAGATAGTTCAATGTTAATCACTCAATCGGATAATAATATAAAAAAAATCATAATTCCAGGATTACTTGACCCATCGGTCAAGTAATCCTGGAATTGTGAATTTTTTCTATGAAATTTAAAATGGCATACAAGCTGACGGCCCGTCTGATGGGTAGTATTAATTGTCACCTATAGGCATGAACTGTACAGCAAACTAACATCTATACATTTCAGTTACAATATCTATATAGGTACTGGTCCAGTAACGAATATGTTAATAATTTGTTATCCAAAAAATAACATTGGGGAACAGACTTTTAACATATACGAAAATAGATATTTGATCGATATGGGCGATATCGAAATGGGTGATATCTTTTCTTTCGGTCATCAATGTCCAGAGCAGCGATATATGGATATCGGATCGGTATCTATATAACCCACACCTATCGCAGACATTAATAATAATAATATATATACGAATATTATACATATAAAACTTTTTATTTTTTATTTTTGAAAACTTTTTTGTTCTTGTTTTTCTTTGTTTACTGATATTTTTGTTTTTTACCTATTGTTATGCGCATGTTTTATGTATTGTGTTACTCATTAATGATCTTGATGGACCGGGCTAGGTGACCGGGTTAAGTTGATTTGGCATCCTTTTTCATTTGCAAAACACTGACTGATTTCTACTACTCTTTATATATAAATGTAAACTTTTTTTTTCTATATTTTATTTATTTATTTATTTTTATGTTGTTTTTATAATCTAAGTATATGTAAGTGTTATGGTTTATTGAAATAAATTTTCATTCATTCATTCATTCATAATAATAATAAATATTTATTTGCGTAAAACATTCTATTTAAGAGTGCACATGTCTTGCTAAAATCATATAGTATGCAAATTAAGTTTCCTATTATAAATCATTGTTAGATATACAAAATTTTTTGTTAATACCAAATGTTAAAAACGTCTACCAAAGAAATATTTTATGTCATAAAAATTCTGTTCCTTTAGCCAGTTATATAATCTTTTCCCAAATAAAGTGACATTCAAATCTTTAAATTCATTTGGAATTTTATTATATATATGAACGCACATAGTAAGGCAGTTTCTTTTATATTTGTCTGATTTTGTCATTATAGAATGGCACTCTTCATGCGTTGCTATTCCCAAGAACTAAACTGTTATGCCTCTGCATAATGTAAGAGATTATGAGACTTGGAATGACAAACAAGCTAATAGTAACTGTCTCTTACAGATTACAGAATCATACTATACAGTTAACAGCTGATATGTCAACTGTTAACTGTATAGTAACTGTCCACTGCTAATCATAGGCCTCTCTCATAAGAGGGGTAGTTAGTAGTTGCATTGCTTGGCACGCGGAATGGCAACCAAAGTGAGGTTTTGGTAATGTTTTAAGAGGGGCGCTGCTGCTCTGAAAATAGAGGTATGGTGGAAAATTCAAACAATGTCTTGAGAGGTTTTTTTAATGAGCGAAAATGGAATAGAAACCGTCCTTGCGCTATCGGTATAGATTAGTGGGGCAACAATGAGGAATGATAGGTGAGTATGTCGGTATTATTGGCCCATTCTGATGAATTTATTGGGAATAACCATGATAGTTTCTAGGGAACGCCGCGTGGAGGTCGACCCGATAGATAATATTACCAGCAGTGAAACCATTAAAACTAACAATCCATTTCCCCTCTGGTCCTGGCAGATTCAAATAGCTTCATTATGTATACTCAACCGAGTTTAATAACCATTCCAGGCTATGAGCGTAATGCAATTTCAGCGACCGATTATACAAAATTAATCTTATTACAATTGTATAAAGCTGTTATTTCAATCCCCCTTAATTTTATTTTCTTCCTTTTTAATTAAAAAATAATTAGTTTTGGTAAATTTATATTTTAACTAGCTGACCCAGCAAACGTTTTATCTTCTGCCGCTTATCTGTTGAGTCCATATTTTTCTCATCGGAATAAAAATTGTCGCTCAAGTTAGAGCAAACTATACACGTTTATATATATTGTATTGTATATAACTATATACTATAAATTTTATTAAAATTGGCTGAGCGATTTTGTAGATTAGCAAAAATAAATATCGTGACACAGGATTAAAATCGTGTAATTATGTATGATAAGATAAGATTAACAAGTTAATAATATCATATAGCGTTCTATTCCAAACTATGCAGAACTTATATTTGCTTGTACATTATCTAGTTATATTACGATAACTAACTCTATACTAGGCATGGGTAATATGGATACCGATTTGATATCTATATATTAGGTTCCTCTGAAACATCCATTTCGATATCGCCCATATCGGTCAGATGTCTATTTTTAATATGTTAAAAGTCTGCGATCTAATATTATTTTTTAGATGACAGTGTTTAACATATTAGTATATAAAATAATCATTTTATAATACTGAAAAATATTCAGATAATACGAACACAAGGTTTCGAAGACGATAAAGAATCAATAACAGTAATTATAACTCCAACTAAGAAGCTGAATTACGGGCATCTTTAGAAATACAAAAGTATCCTTCGCTTTGGCAGGAGACTCCTCTCATCCGGCCTCCCAATTATTTCTTCTGATTAATTACCTGCATTTGATATTTCAGTTGTAGATTTCCCCTGTGACCTGATAATTTCTTGTACTTTATTGCCTAACTTTATTCCAGTTGATTTGTATGACTTTCTTATAAAGTATTGGCTTAGATTACATATGTCCTAGCAGAAAAGCTGACGGCTTCGCTGCGACGCGACGCGACATAACGCGCGGAGCTGTTTCCTGGTTTCTTAAAGGACGTGAAATGGTTACTTAACCTACGACTACCAATATCACATTAGTATTTATTGGCGGAATACCACTGAGTGATTATGAATAGGTGTGGATAAAGTCAGATAAATAACCCTATTATTATTATTGAAAAATAATAAAAGTCGGCCTAACAGAACGAATTCATCAGAATTAATAATTAACTTATACCAATTGGAAAACAATTATAAAGCACCAAGTTAATGACAATAATTTTAAATGGCCCACTAGGGGTGGGCAATATATAACAATATGTTGTTGCTACAATATCTATATATTGGGTCAGTTATGGATATATTACATATCAGACAAAATAATATCATAATGAGAAATCCGATCGAAATGAATATAGATATGATCCATATGGGCGATATAGAAATGGCCATGACCTTTTTCCACCATCAGTATCCAGAAGAGCTCAGTATATAGACATCGGAGCGATACTGACATTACCCATGCTGAATTTTCAATTTTATGTGCGTATTAGAATAAACTTGAAAATTCGGAAGTTTAAGCTGAGATTTAATCTTAGGGTCCTTGAACCGCATTCAAATGGTATCCAACTGTGTTATCACAGTTCCTAACATCTTCTGGTAGAAAGTACTTACTTTAAAGAATATGTAGGTATAATTTAACTAATTTATTTTTTATTTATTTATTTATTCATAGGAAAATCAGGGCTACACTACAGCAAATAGATACAGTTTTACGATAACAAAATAAGCTACTAATATGTTTTCACAAGTAGCCACAATATAGATACAAGGCGCTGTACACAAAGCTACAAAAATACGAGTTAACAAAAAAAAAGTGAATAAACAAGTGGAATAAAAACAAAAAAAAATAATGATAAGTGAAATACAAATTAAAGATTATGTGTAAATAATTGACCAAAATATGGTCTTTTTATCCATACAATAGTAATTAAAACTGACTATGAATAAAAAAATTGCTTACTCAGTTGGTTTCTCACTGATATTATATTTTTTGAAAATAATTCGATATTAAGAGTTCTAGAATGAGTATTAATATCATGTCTGTTTCACCAATTCTACATTCGTGTTCACAATCCCCAATATCTACGTAACGAGGCAATCATGCTTCTTTGATAGCAGTGCGTGCCAGCCATCTCGTATCATTTGGCATTTTTCTTGCAATTCGTGGTTCGTTTTAAAGAGTAGACGCATGTATTTTATTGTGACTTGAGGAAATATGACGTAGTTGGCCCTTCGAAATACATCAGTCTTTGAATGTATACTTAAAGGAAATAATGGATTTGTATTTGAAGTAACTTTCTCGAGCAAGCTTCTCGAATAAGTTACATGTTTCGCGATATATTAATACGACGAAGTTGTAGTGATAATATGATATATTTTATATATCATGTATTTCCAAATGACTAGCAAATAATTATTAATATAAAATAAATATGTATGTATATACACTAACTAACAAAGAAAATATATAAAAAATAGTATGGCGACGCAATAACGCAGTTCGTGCAGTATTAAATTAACATTTAATAATTTTCTTTTTGGACCAGATACCTTTTTCTTCACTGCACGTATTAACATAAATATTACTCCGTTATCAGCGGGTCTACCATGAAATGAAATTCCGAAATTTCGGACGATTTTTTGTTTATACCAAAATCGGACCAATAAATGGAGTTTAACATTTCGTTCGTCATACATCCTATCATAAAAGTCCAAAGGAACAATATTTTAACATTTTTAATATTTCCAAACTACATGCCGTATTATGTAATTTTAACATCAAATTTCTGTTTCGTTTGGCTCCGAAATTTCGGGAAACATTTCATGGTAGGCCCTCAGTTCTCACCCGATATTGATGGTATCTTCTTAAAGTTGATGAAATTTACTTAGGTCTCTCTCTTCAGTCGTACACTCTTCACAGAGTGATCGTGGTTTTTATAATGATAGTGGATCATCGATGAGGCCCTCCTTCGCGGTTGAGGTCCTCGCAATGTGGGACACATTGCGAGGACCTACTACATCTACTTTTGTTCACAGCCGAGCGAGAGCAATCCACATTAGACTGCTGTGTGGCCGTTTTGATGAGATCACCTACTTACTTACTTGAGGTTACTTAGGTACTGCGGTGTAGATCCTATATTAATTTTGTCATGACTGAAGCAACTGCTACTTTATAAAATAAAACCTTGCTCTTTGCAGAACGAAATCCAATAGAATGAATGAAAGAAATACCCTTTATTGTTTGTCTCAGAGGATAATACAGATTATATATGTTAACAATGTATACAAAAAAAAAACGTAATTTATTTATTTATAAATTACTCAACACACTTACTCCCAAAACATGTAGTGAGCCATGTTTATTTTACAAATTTAAAAATTTTAAACAACCTTTAAAAAAAATATATCTAATTTGTTATTAAATATTTTTTTTACCGAACTACAACAACAGTTATTCTTCTGATTACTTCACCTTTAATTTTTTTTTCCTTTTCATACGCTGGTTCTCGCCATGTGTGTCCCGGCATAGAATAGGAAAGAAGGGGTGGCCATCCCTTCCTTTCTCGTGGGTATTGTAAGAGGCGACTAACGGAAGGCGAGGGACAGGCAGCAGCGTCCCTCTTAAAACATATCGGAAAGCCTAACTGCTGTTGCCAACCCGCCTGTCAAGCGTGGCAACTACTGGCAACACTCCTCTTATGGGGAAGGCTTATGTTTTGCAGTAGTCAGTTAACGGCTAAAATAATAATAAAAAAAATTTTTTCGTTCGTAAATATATCTGACAACCTCTAAAAACATGTAGAAATTCGACTTGTTATGATTTTATTTTGTGTAAGGAGATATTTTATGTCTATGTTTATATGTATATGTATTATTGTATACAGATATGTATTTATTTTGATTTTAATTGTATGAGTTACTTATATATGTCAACATATTTCATATTTTTTAATAGAAACATCTATAATATTTCCTTCTATTATTGTACGCATACTGCCCGTTAATAATTAATGCTCCTTTCCACTCAGCGTTTGCTGGAAGAGAACTCCTACAGAGTTAAGCTCGCCTATTGTACATCTTTATTTTATATATATTATATATTGTAATTTTTTGTGTACAATAAAGAATAAATAAATAAATAAATAAGGAGCAAAATGTTCAAGACAACACGAGTAATGCGCGAACACTGAATAGAAGCGATTTTTTCTCACTCACTGAGCACCACATTTGTCTACGAGACGCGTTACACGAATTCTTGCTGTCTGCTATACGGTTAAGATTTTTGTCTACTATTGTCTAAGAAAAATTACATAGTATATTTTATATTACAATAACCGTATAACCATGGACATACGTTGAATGTAAATATAGTACCGTTTTCGCTCTGATATCACACATATAACTTGGTGTGATAGACAGAAATATAAATAAACTGCAGAAGATAATGGGAAGATTCTTGAGTGACGACCCGTATGGGCAAACGCAGTGTATAACAACCCCCTACTAGATGGAATAACGATCTCAAATGCATTGCAGGTAGTCAGTGGATGCAGTTGGCTTAGGATCGTTTCTTATGGCAGTCTAGGGGGAGGCCTATATTTAGCAATGGACTGATAATGGCTGAGATGTATCATTATCTCAGCCATGACTGAGATGATGATGATGATGATAAGAGATAATAATAAGAAAGTGACAAAGTCACAAAGTAATTGTTGTTTAATAAATGATATGATCTCGTAATCCTCAAGAATTATAGGAAACATATATTATGGGTTCGTTACAGAATATTCATTCCATGACGATACCTATATAGTTGAGCCGTCTACTTATTTGTCATTCTGAGTTTCATAAATAAAATGGACGACAATCATAAAAAAATTAAACAATCAAAGAATCAAATAAATTATTTATAAAAATTTGAATGGAATAATAATATTCATAAGCAACGTTTATCACTTCCCATCAGATGGGCCATCAGCTTGTTTGGCATTCTAAGTTCCATAAATTAATTGTGAGTTATGTAAAATAAGCCAAAGTTCGATCAAGAATTATAGGACTCCAAATTCTGATTAGTAATCTCGAATTTTCTTCAGCACCTTCATATTTATGATACAATTCTTATACTTCATGTATAGTCACTAATTTTTTACTGAGTAGCAAATTTTTTATGAGTTTTTGACTATAAAAATTTACGTAATAGTGAACAGAAAATGGACTAGTATAAATAATATGGATGAATAAATTGCTATCACAATTAAAACTGATATGCATGATAAATATCTTATCATATAATAGATGCTCAATTAGACATAGAAAAATACACAATTCATTGCTTCAGTATATTTCTGACAGTCATATAATTATATTAAGTACACTTAAATGGCGAACAAAAATTACATATACAAGTATTCCATTGTTGTCTTGTTGGTTTGCTCATTAACAGCAGGAGATGAGTGCGTCACGTACAGCTTCGAAGATGGACTTAATGATTTTGCTTGGGATCATCCAACATGTCACGGAATCAATAATTGGACATTGGGATGGTATAATACAATATCCATAGAACGACCACACCCTGCAAGCAACACCTTCGTAACACCAGCAATAGCATCATTACCGACAGTTAACTGTATATCAACACGACCTTTAGAAGTGGCCATTGACGGTACTGTTGAATTGAACATCTATTTAGAACGAGCCAATATATTTGAAGTGGAAGTAATAATACAAGATAATACAGCTATTGGTGGATCAAACTATAGCTCTGTACTTAATGCCTTCTCGCCTGGCTGGTCATCGATTAGGTTAACCTTAACTGAGTCGTGTCATTCCTGTTCTGTGAGTATTGTTTAAAATTTTAATAGTTCAGTGTATCTCATATTAAATATTTAAGTATATCAATATAATTTAAGTATTCATTATTACAAAATATATAAAGAAACATTCATTTCTTAACATAATTGTAACTGTAATTTTTCTATCCAAAATTTATAAATATATATAAATTAATTGACATAAATAATAGCAAACCCATATTTTGAATTAAATTATTTTTTGTAGAACTGAAAATAATTAAAAAGAATTTATGGATATTTACAGTAATAGCCAGGCAGTTTTTTATTTTATTTTTTTATATTTACAATGGCAAATGAGCTAATGATCTTGATGAAAAGTGGTAACCGTCGCCTATGACTATAAATGCCTATAAACACGAACAATGCCATGGACAACAGAATATACTGATGCCCTTCATACTCCACTTGCTATGCCATTCCTGAGAACTACGTTGTTGTACTTCTGTATCCTGTAATTTCAGTGATTAACACTAAAATTATTGTATGTTGATGATATGACTCGTGGATGATAAGCCTGAAATTTCTATTAGTATTCAGGAGTTGAAATTTTTTTTTAATTTAATTATCATACATAAATGCATTAATAAAAATTGGATTTTTAATACCACTTAAACCTCTTGGGCTTGTGTGTGATACTTTACATTCGGTTCTCAAATATCACTATTTACATTAATATTCTGCTGTTTTAGCAAGGTTACGATCAATCTAATGATTAGAGGTCCTCTTCTGGTGGATTTCTCGAAATTAATATGATAACTTCAAATTTGTAGCTGATTTTATATGTAAAGATTAATGTATTTTCCATAATATAATCAATCATTGTTTAGATTTTAACTGCACAATCATAATGATTGTTTGATAAAGATTGATATTTGATATTACTAGTGTTTTGTTTTAGCTTCTGAATAAGAAATGTTGCACAAATTCTTGACAAGAGTAGTATAATAGGTTATTAATACTAGTAATTTTGCAGTTTATTTAACATTTGAATACACAAAAAGATATTGAGAAAAAAATTGAACTATTGATACCAGCTTTTACAAATTTCATCCAAACCAAAATACTGAATAGCCTCGGAGGATTTTTATAATAATTTCTAAAAGAAGGTTCTCAATTTATTTATTTTTAATCTTTCATTTGTCATTCTTTTCACAAAAGTGGAGAGATCCGTCGCTCGGAAAAGAAAATACGTAACACAATTTATTTTACTATTTCTAAACCGATTTTCAAATTTTCAAGTTCAATTATTATGTAATCGATAGTGTTATCTCCTGCGTTAGTATCAATATTAGTATTGTGACAATACAGTTTTCCTTGCCAACCAAACCAACCAACCAACACAAGAGAAACCTGGTTGTTCAAATGTTTTCAATGTAATATGTCACGTTATATTACACAAAATATCACGTTACATTTCAATGTTTCTTCATGATTGCCGTTACTTTTTTGCGAACTATAATATACTCGTTATGTTACTACTTAAAGATGTTTGTAAAAATATGTAATTTTAGATACATTCATGATTCTCGTCTGATTAAATTATTTTGTGTTTATTAATAATAATTTGTGCTGATCTTCTCTTATTAATCGTATAAAAACTCAATAAATAAATATTTATTTAGTCTATTAACAACACAAATATGTTAACACAACATTGAAATTAGACATGGACACAAAAAAAGTTTAATTGCATAAAAAAATTTACGTCTGTCTCAAACCAATTCTTTTAGATAATATCTTAACCTTATATGATTATGACTGATCATGAAATATTATATATCTATTTTTTTTATTATTATTATTTTATAGCTTGCATAGCTATTAAATACGCATTAATGATAAGTCGAAGGAGTGTTCCTTCGAGTGTCATACATTAAAACTCTGATAAAAAAGATATTAAATCTTATTAAATTCACAGCAATAGATATCTAACTGCATTGATATAAAATAATTGTAATTATTTGTTTAGTACATTTCTGACAGTGCTTAATTATATACATAATGACGAATAGAAATTATATTTATTTGTTTGTGGTCTTATTGAGTTGTTCATTCGTATTAGCAGATGAGTGCGCCGTATACAATTTCGAAGATGGACTTAATGGTTTTATTTGGGATCATCCAGTATGTTATGGCATCACAAATTGGACATTGGGGTTGTATGATACAATATCTGTACCCCGACCGCACCCAGCTAGCAACACATTTATAAAGGCATCAGAGTCATCTGTGTCAGAATCTAACTGCATATCGACCTGGCCTTTCTATATTGCCATTAGCGGTATTGTCGAAGTCAATGTTTATATGGAAGAAGCCATCAGTTCCTTACATATTTTCGTAGTAACTGAAGATTCACTAGTTGTAGGTCAACTGGACTATGGTCCTATGTTTACTGGTTTCACAGCCGGTTGGTCATCAATTCGCTTAAAGTTAATTGGATCGTGTAATTCTTGTTCTGTAAGTATTATTAAATCATCCAAATATCTGTCGCGTTATAATTTTAATCAATCTTAGAATGTTGTCTTAAGAAAATAATGACAAATTTAAAGGAAGTATAGTAGAATTGAAAATATCATTGAAGCACCATGTAAATAAACTCAAAAAATAAAAAAATATATATAATAATTGTCAAAATATATTCAGAACTGAAAAATAAAATAACAGTCACAAAATTCAGATGAATTGAGAACTTTCTTTTTAGAAATCATTTGATGGCCATTAAAATATAATATATTTTATACTATGGTGTTCGTGACACCTATCATATGTTTCTATATATAAAAATAAAGTAAATATTTTATGTTTTATAAAATAATTTACTCCAAGTTTAAAAATAAGGTAATTTTAATCCCTATAATAATTAATAGACCCAGTAGATGTCAAATAATATAACTTTCTGTGTCTGTTAGTTAATAAATAAGGTAATTTAGTATTTTTAGATTTTTTTTTTATAGATGAACTCTAAAAGAACACATTTATTAAAACAACAACACAACAACTTTGTTCTTTTTTTCCATCCAGAACTCATATCGTCCCATTGCTGTGCAAAGGTCCCAAGGAACCTAGTTTATATATTAAAAAAAAAAAAACTATTTATGCTCGTCTTTGTTGTCACATTTAACTGACAGTAGTTAAAATCCGTACCAAATACGACGGGCATGCCACATTTAATCAGATCGTTTTAGCTCATAAAGTGGCAAAAGATGACAGACAAACTCACATGTACACTAATATTTATATTATTATAATAAAAGTTATAATCTTTAATATCATTATTTTTCCACAGATTGTATTACTGAGTACGATACAGGACAACAGTGTTGTGCTAATAGACTCGTTCAGATACATACCTCCAACAATAAATGATGAGGAATGTAGAATCTATGATGTCCTTTACTCAACAACTGAAGCACCTACTGCAACTGACACCACGCCAGTAGATATTTGGACAACAACTGAACAGCCCGCTGCAACTGACACCACGTCAATAGATATTTGGACAACAACTGAAGAGCCCGCTGCAACTGACACTACGCCAGTAGATATTTGGACAACAACCGAAGAACCCGCTGTGACTGAATCCACGACAGTAGATATTTGGACAACAACTGAACAGCCTTCTACAACTGAAGAGCCCGCTGCAACTGACACTACGCCAGTAGATATTTGGACAACAACTGAACAGCCCGCTGCAACTGACACCACGCCAGTAGATATTTGGACAACAACCGAAGAGCCCGCAGCAACTGACACCACGCCAGTAGATATTTGGACAACAACCGAAGAGCCCGCAGCAACTGACACCACGCCAGTAGATATTTGGACAACAACCGAAGAGCCCGCAGCAACTGACACCACGCCAGTAGATATTTGGACAACAACCGAAGAGCCCGCTGCAACTGACTCCACGCCAGTAGATATTTGGACAACAACCGAAGAGCCCGCAGCAACTGACACCACGCCAGTAGATATTTGGACAACAACCGAAGAGCCCGCAGCAACTGACACCACGCCAGTAGATATTTGGACAACAACCGAAGAGCCCGCTGCAACTGACTCCACGCCAATAGATATTTGGACAACAACCGAAGAGCCCGCAGCAACTGACACCACGCCAGTAGATATTTGGACAACAACCGAAGAGCCCGCTGCAACTGACACCACGCCAGTAGATATTTGGACAACAACCGAAGAGCCCGCAGCAACTGACACCACGCCAGTAGATATTTGGACAACAACCGAAGAGCCAGCAGCAACTGACACCACGCCAGTAGATATTTGGACAACAACCGAAGAGCCCGCAGCAACTGACACCACGCCAGTAGATATTTGGACAACAACCGAAGAGCCCGCTGCAACTGACACCACGCCAGTAGATATTTGGACAACAACCGAAGAGCCCGCTGCAACTGACACCACACCTATAGATATTTGGACAACAACCGAAGAACCCACTGTGACTGAATCCACGCCAGTAGATATTTGGACAACAACCGAAGAACCCACTGTGACTGAATCCACCACAGTAGATATTTGGACAACAACTGAACAACCTATTGCGACTGAATCCACCACAGAAGATATTTGGACAACAACTGAACAACCTATTGCAACTGAATCTACCACAGAAGATATTTGGACAACAACTGAACAACCTGTTGCGACTGAATCCACCACAGAAGATATTTGGACAACAACTGAACAACCTATTGCGACTGAATCCACCACAGAAGATATTTGGACAACAACTGAACAACCTATTGCGACTGAATCCACCACAGAAGATATTTGGACAACAACTGAACAACCTGTTGCGACTGAATCCACCACAGAAGATATTTGGACAACAACTGAACAACCTGTTGCGACTGAATCCACCACAGAAGATATTTGGACAACAACTGAACAACCTATTGCGACTGAATCCACCACAGAAGATATTTGGACAACAACTGAACAACCTATTGCGACTGAATCCACCACAGAAGATATTTGGACAACAACTGAACAACCTATTGCGACTGAATCCACCACAGAAGATATTTGGACAACAACTGAACAACCTATTGCGACTGAATCCACCACAGAAGATATTTGGACAACAACTGAACAACCTATTGCGACTGAATCCACCACAGAAGATATTTGGACAACAACTGAACAACCTATTGCGACTGAATCCACCACAGAAGATATTTGGATAACAACTGAACAACCTATTGCGACTGAATCCACCACAGAAGATATTTGGACAACAACTGAACAACCTATTGCGACTGAACCCACCACAGAAGATATTTGGACAACAACTGAACAACCTATTGCGACTGAATCCACCACAGAAGATATTTGGACAACAACTGAACAACCTATTGCGACTGAATCCACCACAGAAGATATTTGGACAACAACTAAACAACCTATTACGACTGAATCCACCACAGAAGATATTTGGACAACAACTGAACAACCTGTTGCGACTGAATCCACCACAGAAGATATTTGGACAACAACTGAACAACCCATTGTGACTGAATCCACCACAGAAGATATTTGGACAACAACTGAACAACCTATTGCGACTGAATCCACCACAGAAGATATTTGGACAACAACTGAACAACCCACTACAACTAAATCTACTACAGTAGATATTACAACTACTGAAGAACCCACTACAATAACAGAACCAACAGAGTCTATAGATATTTGCGTCACATATGATTTTGAAGAAGGATTTGATGGCTTGATATTGGATCATCCAGCATGCTTTGGAAGTAATACTAATTGGACATTGGGTGACTATAACTCAATATCAGTATCCAGACCGCACCCTGCAAGTAATATTTACTTAACTCATTCATTGTCATTGTCATTATTGCCAGCAATCAACTGTATATCTACGTTTCCTTTCGACTTAACACTAGGTGGTACAGTTGAATTAAATATTTACATGGAACAAGGTCATAATATTATAACTATTCTTACATATGACGGATACAATTTACAGTTTGGTGCCATGTTATCCGGACTTTCAACCGGATGGTCGGCAGTTCGATTCTCCTGGTCTGGACCCCCGTGTGATTCTTGTAATGTAAGTATCATAATGTTTACTGTCAATATATTTTGAACATTTCAATATAGTTTCAAATCGTTAGTATTTAATACACATATATTACAAATGTAACCAAATTGCCTAGTTCTCAAGTGTACATTATTAAATAGAAAACTAAATCGAAGGTATTGTGGCCTCAGGCTTTGGACCCAGAACATACAGACCCTATTCATTTTAGGAAACGCCTTTACCTAAATTGTTTAATGCGAACTCGATTCCGTGATATTATTTTCTGTGTATAAAAACAAATATTAATTAGTACAGGATATTTTAAAAATTTTACCGTTTCCGACCCATGTGTATCTGAAATAAATTTTAAATATCTACTCCCGTCTTGTTTTTCTCAAAATGTTTACGAACAAGTCAGACAGTTCTCTTCTCTCTTGTGGAAATTTGGCCAGACAACTGGGTTATTATTACTTAATTAAGCACTAACATAGTCTAAAATGCCGTATGCTCCCGGCACAAGAAGGGTTGGCAGAATAGCCAACCTATCCTGTATGTGTCGTAAGAAGTGACTAAAGGAACTTAATGGTCGAAGTAAGGGCAGCAACGTCCCTCTTAATACATCACCAAAAACCTAACTGCTGTTGTCAACTCGCCTGTCAAACGTGGCAACGACTGGCATAACCCACCTTATGGAAAAGGCCTATGTTTGGTAACGGACAGTTAACAGCTGTTATAATGATGATGTTAATCTGAAATAAATAATAATTAATTAAAAAAAAATCATTGATAAGACACGCAAAGTCCTATAATATTTATTATTTCATTTTGTTCCAGGTGATCCTTATGCCTATGATATATGACGGAGGCTTGTTGTTAATCGACTCATTTCGGTACATACCGCCATCACTGACCGATGATCAATGCAAAATATATAACTGAAGACAATAAATGATGGCCAACTTCACTCTTAATTAAAATTTATATTAATATAGCTAATACAAAATATTTTATGACACATAGCTTTTGATTTTTTATTAAATGAAAATATAACACCAGATATCTGACCATCGCTATTTAAATAATCTTATGATTATTTATTTATATACATATATATACCCTAAATATGTATGTACCTACTTTAGAGTTGGTTAGGATTTGTCCTATATATATATATATATATATATATATATATATATATATATATATATATATATATATATATATATATATATATATATATATATATATATATATATATGCTTCAAAAAATACACATAAGCTTTGAAAAATAAAAATAATTTCCTCATAAAATGTCTCATTCACAAACGTAGCGCTAAAAACTGTCATTTTAGTTTTATCTGATTTTTTTTCAAATAGCAAAGAAACTGACATTCCATTTCATGAAAACTGTCACTTATAGTCATGAACAGCGAAAAGAACATTACATAATGTACTATATATTACATAAGTTACCCTTAATGTATTATCTGAGGACAAAAGTTTTATGCTTCCGCACCTTGTATTTTCCCTGCCGACAAATAATGAGCCAACAGCTTACGTGCATACCATATACCATTTTAAAGAATCAGATATGGCAGTGAATAGTAGTTGTAATCCAAGATCTTATTATTATCAGAATCGGCAATGACTGATGACTGTACCCATTCTATTTCATATTTCAATTTTTATTTTCAACCTTTTTACATGACTGCCTAAGAAGGATTAAATGTTTTTCAGGGTTCATGTGTCTATGTCAATTTCTTTATTTCACGATAACTTCTAAATGCTTGAAGAGTTTTGGATGTATCTGATATCGTAAGAATCCTTGGAATATCCGTGCTACTTTTTGAAAATAGTTCGTTTTGACAGAGCAGTCGTGTTTTTTTTTTTTTGTTAATAACCATTATTTTTATAATACTTTTTTTAAAATACTTAGAATGACAAACAAGCTGACGTACTGCCTAATGGAAAACGGTAACCATTGTCTATAAACATGAATAGCACGGAGATAAAAAAATATACTGTTAAACCCATAGTACCCCATATGCGTTGTCACTCCAGAGGATTGTAGTGTTATGCCTTCGTATCCTATTATTTCAGTGTCATATGCCCTTCAAACCGAAACACAGCTTTGTAGTCCCGACGTAGAATGGGTCACCTCTTCCAACATCACCAGAGCTTAACTGCGGTTGCCAGCCCACCTGCCAAGCGTGGGAAATACTGGCAGAACTCCCCTTGGGGGGGTTACGTTCAACAGTGGATAGTTAACGGCTGGTATAATGATGGTGTTATACATCCGTATTTCATTTCACTGTCATATCCCATCCTTCAAACTAAAACAAAACCATGTAACTATAGCTGCTTCACGGCAAATTCACGACGACTTTGGTACAAAAATTTCCTCTGGTAACTCTGCAGATATTCTGTCATATTTATGATGCGGTGATACTATTTACGCCTATAGACAACGATTACCGTTTTCCGTTAAATATTCTGTTAACTCCTTTGCTATTACAAATTAAATAAAAAAAGAACCTAACCGTTTTTACTGAGCAAACAGTTCCTTTTACACGCATTGTGTATATTTTTTCTGTAAAAATATCACCGGACCAATAGATATTACTTGCTTTAGAAGCTTTGGTTATTACCTGAAAAAAGAGAAGTCTGCAGCCTACGCGAAATCCATTTGGCAGTTATACTACATTCTAGATAAGAAAAAATAACAAGAACTGGTGCATATGTACAGTCCACAGCTAAAATATTGTGCACTAGACATTTTTAGTGTACAGGTGACACTAATACTTTATTAATGGGTGGAAATGGAATGGTAACCCCGTCTATACTAACATTATATGCTGGCGGGGTACCAGTGACTGATAGGTGAGAATGAAAGCAAGTCAGTTAGCCTATTGTTGCGAAATCTTTAAAAATTAACCAAGATGGTTTCCAGGGAGAACCGCGTGGGGGTCGACCTGATAGGGTCTATTGCTAGCAATGGGGCTATTAGACCTCATTTCTAATAATCCCTTTCCCCCACAATAATACATGGGTATCCATAGTACTTCATGTCTATAAGTGACGTTTATATGAAAAGTGTCAATCAGATGGGCCGTCGACTTGTTTGCCATTCTAAGCTGTATAAAAACAAAGATAAATTTACGCTACTATAATAAAATAGGAAAGGTGAAAAATCTGAATGTTTAGTAACCTTTGCTAAAAATTAGGAAACTGAAATAAGGAACAGAACCCAAATCAATCTCTTTTTTGAATTTGATAAATCACTTCGTCATGTCATTGCAAGAAAAAGGCTAAACCGATTTTTATATTCGAGTACATGTCTTTCTAATTTAAAATTGCTATATATTTATTATTTCTTTTTTAATTGTTGTTACATTATTTTAATATAATATTAATGTTTTTGATAATTTTTTTTAAATTTTTTACACCACGAATGTGACAAACAAACATATAGTCCGTCTGATGATAAACGTTACTATAGCTTATAGCCTGCAATACTAGGGATATGAGGTGCGCATTGCTGACCCTGACGAAATCTTAATATACCCTTTTTTAAGAACCCCATATTATAGTCTCTAGGGAAAACCTCGACAGGAAGCTCATTCCACAGTCTGAGCGTTTGGGGGAAAGGGATTGTTAGTAAACTACCAGTCGCATTGCTAGCAATATACTCAGTCAGGTCGACCTTTACCTAGTCCCCTCTGAAAACCTTTGTGCTAAATTCTAGGTGTATTCATCACGATGAGCTAACTGACCTACATTTTCATCCTCATGTATCACCCCTCACTGGTGACCCGCTAATGTATACCTTTAACGCAGGCGGGGTTACTACTGCATAATCATGCGAAAAAAAAGCCTGAACCTTTGAGGATAAAAATTCTTTTGAAACCGCACTATATGTGACCATTTAGGTTTAAAGTACATACTCGTACTAGTATGAGGATGAATTGAGAATGAATCGCCTTGTCGATGGCGAGCGGAGCGATAATAAAAAGTTACTGTATGCATCACTTAAAAAAATACATTTAAATTTATTTATTATTAGATAAACGAACTAATATTCTGACCATATACTCCATAGGCCGGAAAAGCGCATGTGGCGAGTAGAGAGAGAGAGACATTTTTTCGACTTTTATTTGAACGGCCGCCGCATACCGTCGGAGCAGCTAAATTATTACCGAAATGTTTACACAAATAAAACTAGAACATGCGCGCAACATGAAAGCCTGTATGAGTTTAAAAATTCAATTTTCTCTTATTCGCACACAGTACCGGATTGCGGTACGAAATTTAAATTTTACAAGCGTCTACTTTCGAGGTTATCGAAATTAAGCAAGTTCTAAACTCGAAACATGTACTAGAAGGAAGCTTTGTACAAAAGTCGTCTGTATGGGTACCTCTGTCCCACTTGTCTTTTCGCCTGTGCTTATATGCCTGTTCTTCGAATGCAAAGGAGGCATAATAACCTAATCCTCAGGTATGACAACGCATGACGGATGGGGAAAGGACTTGTTAGTAATAGGCTCTAACTGCCAACTTGTGGGAGGAAAGGGATTTTTAGTGATGGGTTTAAAACTCCATTTGCTAGCAATGTATCTTATCAGGTCGACCTCCACGCGTCTGCTTATATCGATAGCGCAGGCGGGGTTACCATTCCATTTTGGAGTTTGTAACAATAATATTTGAAATTTGAATTTAGAAAGCGGAATCGCTTGTCTAATTATAGACTTTTAAACAAGAAGTTTTTTTTTTCTCTTCAAATAAAAAAAGTTTTAAAATTGGCGACACAATAGCGTGACATAATCATATCTATATAAAACCGGACGAATTGTAAACTTCCGACTTTTCGAAATCGTTATAAATTAAAAAAAAAAACACACAACATTTTAACAGTCCGGGACTGTTCACAAAACTTTGGATCGTTTCAATGCGATTAATCAATTTCACTCGGTTTCCTTATACATTAACCGTAGCGGCTTTATGCATACAAACTAAGCTCAATTTAGTGATGAATTTTTAATATTTCAGTAAGAATTCAGAATGTAATTCACCAGAGGGAGACTCTACAGAAGTCGATTGCTTTAGCACCACTGTCCCATTCGTGTTTCAACCGTGAAGCAGTTGTATTTACATTGCTGTGTTTCGGTTTGAAGGATAGGATATGGCGTGAATTTACAGGGTACAGAGGAATAACACCTGAGTCTTCCGGAATGACAACGCATAGGGGTATCATGGGCGAAACAGTATACTCTATAATGTCCATAGTACTGCTCATGTCTATAGGCAACGGTTATCACTTTCCATCAGGTAGGCCATCAGCTTGTTTACCATTCTAAGTTGCATAAAAAAATGTATTTTAACATTTTTATCTTTAGTTTACCGTAAACAACTAAAGAACTGTTTTCGTTAAAGTATAAAACTAGCTGCCCGTCCCAGCTTCACACGACAATACAACAGTACAATTTGTAAGCATATTCCTTTACATAAAAAAAAATTCTTCAAATCGGTAACAAACAAAAAATTGTATTTTTTGTATTGATCGGTTTACAGCTGACGGAATTATGAGACAACAAACATAAAGATACAACCGAATTGAATACCTCCTTCCATTTAAATGCGGTTGAAAAAAAAATTACATGTAACTTCGTTGTTCACTTTTTTCCGATGACGTCTGCGAAGTCCTATAGGCATCACAGTATACAAATATCATCTCTTTTTCTAAAAAATCTACGTTATAAAATTACCTTTTTTCTATAAAATTTTCTTATTTTTCCCATCGACTGTATATATATAAAGCGTAGGATTATATTTTATATGAAAAAAAAACATTACTCATTGTCTGTGATAGCCCTAAAATGCGTATGTAGGGCGTCCTAAATAAGACTGTCACGCTGTCATGCTAAGTAAACTTTATTTCGCATTTCGGCACGGACCCCCATAAAGAGATTATGATAACTCTGTATTCGAGTATAACAAAGTTGTACAATATTCATTTAG